TATTAATCATACAGATGTGCATGTCCTCACAACATGGTGGCAGGCTTCCCCCAGAGTAGAAGGTACATGAAAGAACAAAGCTATAATGCCTTCATCTGTTATAGCTCTTTTGCAAGCTGTAACAGTGATGGTGAACTTTTTAGAGCTTTCACTGATAATCAACAGCCTGCTGCATCACACAGCCCATAGTTTCATGACCACGGACTAACAACCTTGGAAGTCACACACCATTATTTCTACAAAATTAAGAAAAAAAAAAACAGGGTAACACAGCTGAGCACTTCTTAAGGGAGGAAAGCACAACAGTGGGCAGGGATACCAAGAGGCAGGATCACTGGGGCCACTTCAGAGGGCAGCTGCCATGTTTGTTATGGCACTTTTCATCATATAAGGAACAGAAATTTCTTGAATAAGTAAAGTGTCTAATTTAGCTACAGTATATATAACACATATTCCTATGACAGAATAAAGGTATTATTGAATTTGAATTTTTAATACATTAGTCTTGTGAGAGATCATTAATGTCAATACTCACTAAGACTTTGAAATATATCAGACTCATAGTGATCCTCCTGTTTTCAGTCTCCCAAGCACTGGGATTACAGGCATGTACCATCACGTCCAGTGTCAGTCACTGTCTCAGAGTGCCCTGGGGGGCAGAGCTAGCAAGGAGGCTGGGGATTGAACCCCTGGCCCCTCCATCTGCCTAAGCAGGTGCTTTAATCTGCTGAATTATCTGTTCGCCTCATTAAACCTAACTTTTTTTTGTACTGGGGATCAAACTCAGAACCTTGCACTTGCCAGGCAAGCACTTATGCCACTGAACTATCTCCCAGGCTGACTTTGAAATACTCTATACAACACCTACGTCTCTGTGCTGTTCCAAGCAGTCTGCTTTTCTTGGCCCAATATTCTTTGATGTACTTCTATTTGTACTACTCCCAAGATCTTTCATTTGGAATTAAAGAATTTATAATCCGTCTGAGGGGACAGGTGCTGAATGATGTAAAGTATAGGAGGAACTAGGTCAGTAGAATTTTACAAGGATCATTCTCTTGACTGTACACAGGGTTCATGGGGGGAGACACAGCAATACTGGAGGCTAGAGAGAGCTGCTGAGGTGGTCTCAAATAGTCCCTTCATTGGATCAAGTTTTACAACTCTTAGTATTTGCCACTTTCTAATTTTCTCATCAATTAACCTGACACTCAGCAGATTAATCTAGTCAACACAGTAATGGGCTGGTAGAGGCAGAGAAAAGCAAAACCCTAATTCGTAACATGTACAAAATTCTGGAGTGTAAATACTTCTATCATGGCCAATTTCAAGCTACCAACATGCCACCGCCATGCACAGAATTGGGAAGAGATGTGCACAGCTGGTTCTCAAGGGCCAGTGGCCACCTGGCTGCAGCCTGTCATGGCTGTTTTTGCACTCTTAAAGCAGAAGCTGCTAGTAAGATCAGGACTTAAACTTTATCTGCTTTCACTAAAAAGCAGTGACTTCTCATTTGAATCTACAGATGAATGACTCATGAAAATCAGCATAAAGTCTGGTACATCTGTCTTCATTTTGTATGTTTCCTTTATAACCTTAAACTTTTGGTCAGATTCCTGCTCATCTCTATTATGTAGGCACGTTAATCATGTAAGAACTTTCTAAAAACTGACAAGGTTTACTATCCCTACATTTTTAATGTTTGAGACAGTCTTGCTGTATAGTTCAGGCTGGCGAGTTCATGGCAATCCTCCTGCCTCAGTCATCCAAGTATTGGGATTACAGGCAGGAAACAGCACACCTGACCTTTATTAGTCCTAAATTTACCTAAGCTGCCTCATTTTCTTTCAAGATTGTGGGCATGAAGATAAAACTAAGGTATTTTCAAGATCTGCCGGGATATTTAACTGTCAGCTCTTACGATGCTACTGGAGAGCCCCTGAAGTGACACCTACAAATCCCGTCATTGCCCTAACTCTGGCAGAGCCTCCACCCGAGGAGTCCTCCTAGCGCCAAGTGGGAGCAACCATCTCATAGGAATTGGACTGCTCCTTCGCTCAACAGGACTTCTCCAAAGCCACTTTATCAAACGAGAACTGAGCTCATGACAAGACTCTAGCCTACCCCAGCAAACCAGTAACAGCTGATCCTTTCCTTTCTTAACTGGGCAACCTGATTTACTGTCAGTGTCACCCTCCCTCAGCTATTCTCCTTAAGGTGAATTTCATTCCTGATTTTTCTTCATTCTCAATCAAAAGCTGTGTGAAGAGCCTCATTATTTCTTGGCTTGTTTGCAATTTCTCCTATCACCAGGAAAAAGATCCTGTCTGTGTACAGTATCAAGAGAAACAGGTTAGCAGATTTGGAACAGGATGGATGGCTGAGTCAAAGCCTTCTTCCACACGACCAGTGCTGGTGAAGAACTTCCCAAACACTAACCTCTCTCCAGAGGGCTGCCAGGACATTCAAGATAATCTTCTGAGCACTCAGGCAAAAGCAGCATGGGAAGAAGCAAAACTGACTTCAACATTTAAGTGCTTATAAATATTGGAGCAAGGCTACTATATATAATGCAGTTATGGTATTTATAACACCTTTTCTAGAATGCAAAATTCTAGATTCTGAAAAGGCTTTAGTGAAAATGGACCACCCCAACTGTGATTAGACTCTTGCTAACAGGGCCAAACACAAGTGGCTTTTACACACACAAAAAAATTTCTAAGTCCTTTCCTTTTTGTCCTCTCACTTTCTTCCCCACAACTTGCTCTATCATTTTCTTCACAGATGTCACAAGAGAGGTTGTTTATTTCAAAATAAAATATAACATATCCACCATCTCCCCGTTAATTTGGCTACGAATACTAGGCAGGTGATGAAGATGCTTATTCTCCCAGTCCCAGTGTCACAATGGGGTTCAGAGAGCTGACACTTCCTGGGCCTAACGTTTGAAATAACCATTAAGTGACCCTCTCGTGAAAAGGCTCCTTTTTTCCAGAGTACATGGGGTACTTTAGTATTCACTGCTAACAGATACAGAAGCTGGGATATAGCTCATCACACAGCATCTGCCTAGCAAGTAAAAGGTTGAGTTCAATTCTTGGTACCACCAGAAAAAACAAAAAACAAACCACAAACAACAACAAAAGACCCACCCCAGTAAGATCCCATCTAGTGCTATAAGATCCCATCCATTCCTATGATTGCGACTTTGGTTTACATTTCTTCTGCAAGGACTTTCCTTTTGAATTTTTCAGGACAGAAGACCTGACACAAACTCTTCAAAAATCTCTTTGAAAAGAGAATATCCAGGAAATAACATATATTTTTCTGAAAATGAAGAAGCAGATCAGCACAGAGGAAAGTAAAAGGCCCAAATGAGACCAACGGACAGTTTAAAATTAGACTCAGGCTACCAGGCTACAACTAAGTCCCTTCTCACTGTACCCTACCAGTTCTATGATGTTGCTCCGACCCACTCTGTGACAAATCTGACAACTCAATTAAGGTTTTGCCAAGTTTATCCACTACCAATTTTTCTCTCAGAATTTAAGCCATTCTGTACTGAGCCTAATATGGCAGTTCTCATTACTTCCATCAAAATTAGTTTTACTTCTATCAATGTTTTCTAATTCTATGAATTTTGTACTTTTTACTTTGAGCATGAGCTTTTCTTTCTTCCCTATGTATCAGTATTCGCCATTTATTCAACAGGTTACAACCTAGTATATACATCTGTTTTTTAAGACAGAATCTTGTTATGTAGCCAGACTGGCCTCAAACTGGAGATCCTACTGTCTCTCACTCAGTCATTATCACATATACCTGTGATAACACAGGCCTACGCCACCATGTCTGGCCTTATGGCTTTGATGCTCCAATTGTTCGTTTGGCCAGTGGGAGCTCTTTCCAACTGGCAGCTGTGATCTGATGAACCTTCGTCATTCTTTGAGTATTTCCTCACTTTGGGGCAGAATAAGATAAGCTGGGTTTATCTATACTCTTTCTGTCCCTGCACTAGAACTAGTCCTTTTCACAAGCAGCTCCATGCAGGGTGCATTTTTAAAAATTGATTTTAGATGATGATTGCCAAGTAATATGTATTTCTCACTCTGGTTGATAAATCAGTTTGCAATGCATCTGAGCAGTATAAAGATTCCCTAGCATTTAATCACTTATAGTGAACTTGTAGTCTGAGGGACTCTGGATTATTACACTTTCACATAATCAGCTGGGGATGCCCTAGGTGAAGTTGTTTCTCATTCCCAGTGCAACCTTGGCTCCGCCATCTAATACTGTACATAATAAGAGCTGTGGGTTTCAGCGAGGACTGTGAGATCTCTACAGCGTTATAATCCAAAACGAAAAATTCATCACAAGTTTTTAAAAATGGTGACGTGACTTGCCTGTCACTTTTCCTGGTAACCCCAATCTTTGAAGTCTAAGAAAAAGTCCCCCTATATGAGAACACCCAATCTCCAAGGTTACAGAGCATTTAAAGTTCACTGAAGAGGCCAATCTGGCCATGATTTAAGGGTATTTTTCAAGACTGTGAAAACATTCTAGCGAACTGCTAGGACCACTCTTGGAAATGGAAAAAGGATCTTGGTCTTTCTAGATTAATAATTCCATTTTTTTTTTTTTAATTTTAGGGAAGGGTCTACAGGGTGTTCAGGGTCTCACTACTAGATAGGACTTGTAACGATTCACCTGTTTACAGCCTGCCAAGAGCTGGGATTACAGGCGTGCACCACTATGCCCAGTCTCAATTGCCATCTCAGCACACCCCCAGGGGAGGGGCAGGAACGGCAGGCCCAGGGATGGAAGCCCCAGCCCCTGTGCCTGCTTGCAGGTGCTTTAATCTGCTGAGCTATTTGGCCGGCCCTCTCCATTTTTAAATTATTTATTCCATAGGACTTTAAATGACTGTTTTTTTAACTTGCATACCCTTGAGAAACATTTCTAAAATTATTTTATCTTAAAGCCAAGAAAAGAAAAACAGGAACTTGTAAAAATACATATTTTAATAAACATCAAGAAGTACAGTACACTTTTACTGAGGTTTTATCTTGCAGTTTACAACAAATATACTATTCATTGTAGTGCATATGTACAAATAAAATAAATTCAACAATCTTTATTTACTTTTTAACCAACGTTAGATAAAACAAATCCAGAACACCATACCATATCTAAGATTGTTTTCCAAGTTGGCTTCTGTAAAAAAGGCTTTTAACATTAATAGGCTTTTAACAAAAAGCTATCCCCAATCACAATGCTAGACTGATCGGTGCTCAAGAATGGTAAGAACAGTAAACACTTGTTTTCCTTTAAAGGTTTCAAAAAACAGCTACTGCTAGCAAATTTAAAATACCAAAAAGACAATAAGAAAACAACTGTTTCTTATGCCATGTGAATCCATAATAAACTGTAATTTGAGGCTACAGATTAGTGTATGAAAACTTAATGTTTATATGTGTAACTATAACAACTAAAACTGACTAGTATGGCTCATTTTTTTCCTTTAACATTGTTTATGCAAAGACCAAGAAATGATGAAATTCTTGATGTTTCTGGACAAAATTTTAGTGAGAAGGTACTAAAATTAATTACCCAAGTGGAAAAATTAATATTGATCTGAAAATGCTACCTGTCATTGTCTTGGAATAATCAAGACTTGGCTACATATGAGAATGAGAAAAATCACAACTCAAATTAGAAATTATAACAGAAAAAACACAGCCTAGTAAGCTTTCTACTGATGGCACTTAAAAACTATGTAACTGGATTTATTTTCTATTTACATATAGTAGTGTTGGAATTAGAAAAAAGTACTATATATTCATATTTATCTATAGAAATACCAAAATCATCTTCAGATCTGTAAAAGAGGCATACTCTGTTATTATACAACTATTTGTAAATTCTGTAATAAAACAAAATCCTCATAGATATAATACTAATCCACAGCAAATTCCTCCAACTAAATAAGCAGCTCAAATTCCTAAGGGCAAAGGCCCTAAATCCCTGAATCTCTAAGTATTATCTCAGTGCTGACATACTTGTATTTAACTGATACTACCTAAGAATAAAGAGTATAAAAACATCTTCCTTAATACAGCCTTATACTTTCAGAGGTTGCCCGGGCCCTTGTTTCTGAGACAGTGTTGAGCATGTAGGTGAAGGTAGGTACCATAAGAATCTGATGTTCAAGTACAGCAAATTTCCAGGGTCCAGTATAGTGCTGGTGTTATATAATTAGTCTGTCAGAAAGTCATAATTCTGGTTGAAAAGATTCCTGGATGACTGACTGAGAAGTTCAGACCACCTACCAATGAAGTCAGACCGTTCACTAACTGTAAGTAAAAGTTTGAGAATTTGATCTTATTAGATTAAAATTTCTTCATAGATGGACCTGATCCCCTACATTCTTGTGTCCTCTAAACCACCTATTATGAAGTGCTAGGCCAAGATAAATGCTCTCCACATAATCAATGATGGGGGCAGGAAGTGAACTAAGGGGGAGTGTGGTTACGGTAGTCATCCTTCTACTTCACCTGTTACACTCACCAGAGCGAATCACTTCTATTGCAACGAAGAATAGATTCTTGTCTCTTACCACTTACGTGTGAACAGAACAAATTAGGTCTGAACCTTTTGTTAACTTCTCTTAGCCACTAAGAGATCATACGTGTGCACAGGTACTGTCTAACAGATGGTATCTAGAAGTTTTTCTGCCTCAGAAGAAGCACAAATCTGTCACATAGCATATTTTAACTCCAACAGTACAATTTATGGAATCTTTAAAATTATGTTAACATTGTCTAAATAGATACTTAAAAATGTTAGTCTTATTCTGACTTCACTTAAAATGCATTTCACTTTTGAACACTGGCATGAGGTAGAAGATAAGGAACTCACAAAAAAGAAAGTAATTTTCAAAACACTGAAACATATTCAATATAATTAGCCTCAAGAGAAAAGTTAAAGCCATAAGCTGCTAGATTACTGACTACTGTTAAGTTACTTTTAGTTAAAAGAAATTTCATGTATTTAAAGTTGCCTTTCCAGTGTAAGCTATTACATAAAAAGTACAAAACAATCTGAAATATTCATAAAGACTGTATGCAACAGTTTCTCTTAACTATCATTCTTTCCCATGTCTAAACCAGACATAGGTTGTTTCCCCTTAAAAAACTGGTCAAATATCAATAAGGAGGTCAAAAATCCTTTCAATACAAGCAGCAAGAGAAATGTTTGCCATTAAAAATGTTTACTTATAATAACTAGCAGCACTTCATTCTACCAGCACATAAAATTTGGCTTTGTTTACTGGTCAGGAACAAAGGAAAATGTACAACGTTCAAAAAGGCTCTTTATACAGGGGAACGTGAGGGGCTACAAGAAATTTTTTTAAACAATTACCTATATTCATATTAGGAAGTGTGTGAGACTACTGGAATGTCGATTTCAATAGCAGAGAGGCGGGAACGGGCTGAATAGGGCTGGGAATAAGTGTGCATACTGGGAGGATGGGAGTACAGTGGCTGCCAGAAAGGAGAAGGTAAAGACTTGCACGCACAGTACCAAACAAACAGTAGGAGGGAAGTCATGAACAGACCCCCGGCACTGGCGATGGTGACATAAACTGCATAGTCAAATGTAAAAACTGGCTCAAACTTTCTGTTCAGATGGACGTTGTAGAAGATGACCCAGATGGATGGAGAAAGGCTCACAGTACCTGCCAGAAAGAACAGCAGCCCAGCCACCAGGTGACAGCCTGCACTATTGACCAGACACTTGGCCAGTTTGATGTTAGGCACTGAGGACCTGAATGCTGTGTTACACATTCCAATCAGGCAGAGCAGCAAGGCACCCATTGCAATCAGGATGCTGAGGGGCAGGGCAAACTGAAGGACACGCAGGTCCAGTTGGTCAACTGATGAGTACCATGTAGTGTCGTACATCAGGCAGTCACTGCTACCATCATACCGGGCGCATTTCACCCACAGACCTGTGTAAACAGTCAAGTTCTTCTCGTTTCTGTTGAACGTGATCAGTCGTAATTTTCTCCAGTTGGGAAGCAAAGTCCCCGCAAAGAGGCCTGCTACTGAGGCGATTCCACACAGGAAGGAGAGGACTGTGGCTGCATGGACATCCCGACAGCCCATGGCAGGCAGCCTTGTGCAGAACTGTGAGTCTAGGGAGTGACACACAAGAGGACAAATCATAAAGGGACAACAGGAGTATAGCACAACAGGTGGTCCCAGCTGGCAAGATATCTCATGATAAAGTCAATGAAGAGACAAACTCCCTTGTACAGAGGGAATCCACCTGTACAATATAAACACATATGTATGTGACCTCGGAGCTCAGATGCACACACATTCATTTGAGTATCACTGTCACAGTATTTCAGCCATCAGTATCTTTCTTCAGTTAATTAGAACAACCAAACTAATGTAAAATTCTCTTAATGTTACACTTAAAATTTCCTTGGTTGTCACTAATCATCCATTCAGCATACACATACAGTACTGATCCCTTTTATTCAGTAGGAACTCATATACAAAAAAGGCCAAAGCACTCAATTATCAACTGCAAACATCGCCACTCTGGCTTCACATATTCACACAAGTACAAAACGAGACCAGCAGACAGCACAGTTGGCAACTTTGATTAATTTCAACATTGGGGGCAGGGGAGATAGATCAGCAGCTTGAGTACACGCCTGGCAAGTACAAAGTCCCGAGTTCAATCTCTGGAACCAAAAATAAAATAGAATAAAAAAATTATAATTTCAAAAATGGTCAGGAAATGGAGTGTTGATTCTGTTCTCAACTAATGGCTGTATGTTACTCAGTGGATATACTCTGCTTCATTAACAGTAGTTAATGTCCCAAATAAGTATTTATCAAAGCTATACAATGTATATTTTTGTTTAATATTTTTAATACCAAGAGATAAAAATAAATCATTTGTCATATGGAAACTCCTTATAATGGATGAAAACATGCCATGCTAAGAATGCACTCTGGTATACTTGACAAGGTAAACAGCACAAGGTGGGTGAGACTTTGACTTGGTTCATGTATATAAATATGTGAGTTTGGTCATGCTACAGACAGCTCTTTTTCTACTCGTACTTGGCCCAAAACTGCAAAGCATGTTTCTTTTTCTACTCCCCCGCCTTTCTTTAGTACAAGGTCTACAGGGTCTCGCTACACAGATCGGACTCACAGTGATCCTCCTGTTTTCAGCCTCCCAAGCGCTGAGATTACAGGCACATGCCACCATGCCCTGTCTCACTGTCTCAGTACACCCCTGGGGTGGGGCTGGCATGGCATGTGGTGTCAAGGATTAAACCCTAGTCCCTGTGCCTGCCTTAGTCTGCTGAGCTATCTGGCCAGTCCTTTTCCTACTTTTAATTAATTTATTTTATTTATTTTTGTGTGTGTGTGGCCAGCTCAGCCCACCTGAAGGTGGCGCTGGCTGGCATGTGGTGCTGGGGGATTCAACCGCGGTCCCCGTGCTTTGCTAAGCTTGTTGTAAGTAGGTGCTTTAGACCACTGAGCCATCTCACCAGCCCTCTTTCCCTACTTTTAATAAACACAAAACTTCACTACATTTTGTGCTTGTTTTGCCCATTCTTTGTTCAAGACAAGCATAATCTAGAAGCTAACTCTGGAAAGAGATATAAGCGCTCTAAAACCCAGTATCATAAGGCAGCCAGGAGCAGGTTCTTTCGGGTATGATTTTTTTGTTATTGTTATTTCTCTCTCTCTGAAATCTATGACTGCTTTTTTTTCTTTTCTTTCCAGTTTTCAGTCACTCACTGCAGGTACAAATGAGTAAAGAGCAGTCAGAAATCCTGTTATTAACTCAGTCACAGACAGGTCAGGATCCATGCATGTGACCTAGGTTTTAGTATGCCTTTTTGTGCTAAGGTTTATGTTCTCCAGTATACTCTGCTCAGCTTCCCCACTTTTCTATGAAAATAGGCCTCCTTCTCAAAGTCAACAAATCACTGCCTTGCCTCAGAGACCTCTGCTCAAAAAGCAGTTTATAGCTCTTAGGCTCCAAGACTAGCAAAAGATAAAAAATGAAATATCTATACAGACTCCAAATACATTTTTCTGATGCTACATGCTCATGCAACAGTCTGAAAAAATAAGAAGCTTTCTGGCTGATCAGCAATCATCTATAAAACACAAGTAGGAAATTCTATAATTCCTAGAGGCAGTCTATCTTCCTAAGCTGATAGCTGCCATGGAATGCAAAGGACAGCAAAGAGCTGTCTAAAGTCTCTTTAGGAAATGAAAAGGCTAACAGGCAGGCAAGCGGGGCAGCCTTTTAGCCCCTTCAGACCTTAGCCTTATTCCCAGTTCCTGAATGTCTATTAAATCAGTCCTTCCTCAAGGGATGCAGCGGAAAGCTTTAAAGTCCTACATGAGAAATGGTCACTAAGACTCTACTCTCAGGCTTCTCTTCAAAATGCAAGATTCTAGTACTATTCTGAGTGTAGACAAGTAGTCTCCTTTAATATACATAACACTTCACTACCTTTAAAAAAAAGTGAGCTTATTGTTCCCAGTTGGAAGACAGGTTGGTCTTATCATCTAGGACCCCAATATCCATCACAACTCTCATTTACAAACTGAGTACTTCAGCTATGTCTTTTGAACTTCAAATTTCTAATCAGTAAACTATCCCTTAAGGTAACTGTGAGATGAATAGCCCTGAGTAAACCAGACTATGGACAGAAATTTAAGTTTGTAATGATCGTTAGTAATTTACTTTCTTCAGGTAGGAACATGCTTTTCTTCTGGATTCCCAGCAAACAACCAGTTGATTATAGTTACACAACAATGAGCACATTTTTTTCGGAGTACTTATTACCAAATCAAAAAAGACTTGTTTCAGAACCACTTCACATTTGTCATGGACTATTCCATTTTTTTTTGCAGCAGCAGATGGATAAAATCTGATGCACAAATAAATGTTATCAAAGATATCACTGAATAAAAATATTTTCAAAAAGATGTATTTTCTGTGGTTTGGAACAGAATTCAAAGAAGGCTAGAGCAGGAATAGTGGCTAAGAACTTAAGGAATTCTCAAAGCCATTTCAATTTTTCAGGGACAATTTCAAGGAACAGATATAAAAGAACGTATGTCTCATCACAGCTAGGTTAATTCTTGATATTAACACTGGTACTTCCTTCCACCTCTTGTGTTTTCTAAGAAACTAAGTCATCAATAATTATACTCAGGCTTAACTAAGCAAGTTCCCATGACTTGTCCACCACCTTCGACCCGCCTCACCACATGGTTTTCCTCTATAAAAGTCCTTGCAAGAGACAATTTCAGGGGGTGGGGGACTACCCGCTTGGGCCCCCCCTCCTGTCCCTCTCTCTCGGGACAGGAGCTTTCTTTCTCTCAATAAATATATTCTGCTCTTAAAAAAAAAAAAATTATACTCGGGCTTGGGAGATAGCTCAGTAGAATAAGTGCTTGCCTTGCAAGCGCAAGGTCCTGAGTTCAATCCCCAGTACCATAAAAAATATATATATATATATACTCAAAGAGATCTGTTCTATATTTCATTGAAAAGTAAAATAAGCATCATTAACTATAGTAGCAAGGGGTAAGGAAATAATATATAATCATAGGATATACTTACCTTGTAGGTATCTGGTATTTCTAAAGCAGATTTATTTAACTTAGAAGAAACACGGTAGAGATGAACACACAGTGGAAATGAACATGAAGTAGAGATGATGTGGGCCTAGATATATAAGAAAATAACCTTAATTAGTACAACACTCTTCAAAAAACTCAAAAATAATTAGCAATGGCTTAAAATTAATAAAACGTTAAACCAAAAAAAGTAGGCAGTTTTTTAAGAGGCATTTTATGATTACGGGTGTAGCTCAGGGGCAAAACACTTGCCTAGCATGCACAAAGAATATCTCAGGTACCCACCACCACTGAAAAAGAATACAAAGAAAAACACACGCAGTAGCCTGTAAAATGCACAGTGTTATAAGTAACATAAAGAAAAAAAAAATAACTTCTTGTGACAGACGACTGGCGAATGAGGGACAAAAATCACTTCACTGTCTTGGAAACAGAGCTCAGCAGTCAATGAATTTTTAAGGCTCCTGTCCATGACAATAGTAAAAAAAAATAAGAGGAAACTATGCAACTATCCTGGAGTAAAAGAAATATGTCATTTTTAAACATATTATACTTCCAAACGGATAATGACAACAAAAGCAAAGCTAATCCACATTATTATGTGCACCCTAAAATTTTCAACTAGAGTGCTTTGTTTACAGTACCACCAATGGCTAACCTGCCATTTTAACATGTTTCCGCGTCTATAAACACCAGGAGCTTCCTCCTCAACTACCATTTGCCTCTGGGAGTATAAATATGACAACCTGGCCCGGCGTGGTGGTGGGCATCTGTAATCCTAGCTACTGGAGAGATTTGAGGAGGAAAATCACAAATTTGAGATGAGTCTATGCCACTTAGCGAGCCCCTGACTTCAAAAGAACTTGTAAATGATCATGAGCTTCCTGGATTAAGGCATTTGTCACTAGTCCCAATATGATATTCATGTAGACTACTGTCCGCAGAGATTTCCATGAAGCCCGCCCCCGCCAAGGTGTAATTCTTGAGTCGCTATCTCAAGTCCAACAGCTTGTTCTGAGATTAAAGGAAATCATTTTACAATAAATCACACGCAGCAGGGTGCCCGGGCAATCACTTTGAAAGAGCTCGCCTAACGTCCTTCCCAAAACCGGGCTGCGGAGGAGAGCGGGGCTAGTTCTCCCGGGGGCTGCACCCCGCGCCCGGCCCTCCGCGGGTCTTCAGCACCCACGAGGCAGAAAGGAGGGGGCGGGCGGCAGCTCCCGCAGGAGCCAATGGAGGGACCGCCCCGGAGCGTCGCGGCGCCCGCGCAGCCAGTCCCCGCTGAGCAGCAGCCCGCGGGTCGGCGTTACACAACCAGCATCAGCCGGTTTTCAAAAATAGCAACTGGCGGCCCCGCACCGCTCGCCCCCGCCGGCTGAGCTCCGGGCCCTCAGCTCTCTAGCGACGCACCTCGGCTTTTCCACATTCGGCTGCAAGAGACGATTCTGTAAAGCTGTATCAAAGACCTCCTCGTCCAGTTCCTACGTCCTCGGGCGCAGTTAGCGGTCTTCAATGCTCCGGGTTCCCCGTCGAGTTCGCTAACTTTACAAAAGACCTTCAACTAGTCTCAAGTCTCAGACCGGAGCGCTCGGACCACAACCTACCTGCTCCTCGCAGCCGGGGCAAGTCTCTCGCCCACACAGAGCAGCGTCTCGGACCGACTCCTTCTCCGCGTCCCGGAAGTGCGTTCCCAGCGAGGACGCGCCCCAGAGGCTTCTGGGAGCACAGTCAGGTTCGCTCGCCGCCCACACCAGAAGGCCCCGGGTGTCTGGACTACAGTTCCCAGAACCTACCGGGCCGCATCCTGCGCCGACCCCTGTCGTTCCCTTCCGTTCCCCCTGCCTCCCCTGGGTGCGTTAGAACGCAGTGTTTGCTCCAGGTTTGCCTTAATGGGTTTTAACCTACATATACCAGGAGCAACAAAACGAAATAGCTAAACTCTCCCCAAGTAAATATTTCCTATTACATGTGATTTGCGCATAGAAGGTTAGCACAAGTTCCCTCGCTAATCTGCAAAACACTATCACTAAGGCATGAGACCTGGATCTGATGAAGCTCTCGTACCTACGGGTTGGGTGGCCCTGAGCAAGTTTCCTTCTGTTACCTCTCGGAGGTTATCCGAAAAAGGGGGATAATGAGATTACATGCACTATATAGCTCGAAGATTAAGAGACTTGATATTGTGCAGATAGCTGAGGTAGTTACTAGATATTTAAATTTAGGCTGCCACAAATTTCAACTATGCTATCTCTTTTGCTTGGAGCTTCTTTTAAATGAGAAGTCATGTACTTGTGACTGAGTTAAACTAAAAAAGGGAAAAGGGCTCTTGCCTTCCAACTGCTTTCGCCTTTATCATTTACGATATCGTGGTGGGAATGAAGATGGTTATTTAAGGTGGGAAGCAATTCCAGAACCGGCGAGCGAAAGCACCCATGCCAATGGCTGATGGAGGGGGCAGTGTGACAAGGGATTGTCACTTCGCTCTAAACTTCAGCTGTCATCTCACAGACTCAATGAAACCATGTACAAAATCACTTCATAATTTACTTATCATTGATAAGTACTGCTTGATTAGCAGACATTAGTTGGAATGTAATAAACACGAAAAGGAAGGGAAGCCACCTCTACTGCTAGGTTTACTAACCAAGGTGGGTTCAGTTTAGTCAATGACTGTCTCGGCAGAGCAAAGACAGAACAATGGGATTCATGTTCAGTGGGATTCCGTGACTATTTTAATATAATTAACAAAATGAATATAGATAAATAAGTTGGTCATTCCCACTTTTCTAACCAGAGCTTCTTTAAGGAGAAAGTCATTCACAATGTCTTTTACCACCAAAATTCTACAGACTCCCATTTGGCCACTGTATTAGTTTTCTACTGCAGTTATTAAGAAACTGCCACAAAATCAAGAGGTTTTAAAAACACTAGGACATTATCTTAACACTTCTGGAAATCAGACGTCTGTCAGAGTCCTACTAGGCTAAAATCAAAATAGCAACAGGGCTGGGATTTTGTGTGTACATTTGGGGTCTAGAGGAGAATTTATTGTCTTGCTTCCCAACTTCCTGAAGATGCTTGGGTTTCCTGGCAGTTAGTCCCATTGTCTTAAAAACCAGCAGTGACTGGTCAAGTCTTCGTATCACATCACACCGAGAATCTTCTGCCTTCCGCTTGATCTTTTAAGAATCCTTGACACCCAATGGGATAACCCAGGATATCTGTATATAGTCATGTGATTAGCAATTTTATTTTTTTTTTAAATTTTATTTATTTATGTGTGTGTGTGTGTGTGTGTGTGTGGCCAGCTCAACCCACCAGGGGGCAGGGCTGGCTGGCATGTGGTGCTGGGGGATTGAACCGCGGTCCCTGTGCTTTGCAAAGCTTGTTCTAAGTAGGTGCTTTAGACCACTGAGCCATCTCACCAGCCCTGTGATTAGCAATTTTAATCCCATCCAGAACCTTAATTTTTCCTGTTGTCCTGTAACATGGCATATTTACAGACTCCAAAATGAGAGTATAGACATCTTCAGGAGCCCAGTATTCTATTACTGTCCCTAATTCTCTCTTCCTGGCTGAATCGAAAGGCCTCTTTTTTGTCCTAATCTCATCTATTTTCAGGTGCATATTGTGTAATTTGGACCATCTCTTTTTTCCTAAACTTTTCTTTGGACTTGGAAACACCTGTGTTTTTCTAGTTTATCTAGTAATTTTTTAACCGGTCGGTTTCACTTTCTCTAATACAATTATCCAAAAACTTAATCCTCCCCTCCCTCTCCCAATCAATAAACTTCCTCAAAGGGCAACCTGTTTTTTCTCTCTCTACATCTACCTCTTTGGGCCAGGATATGACTTCAGAATGATTTGTGATTACCAAATCATATGGCTGACTGCTATTAATTCAATCTTAGCATTTTCCCAATATAAGCTACAACTATATCTCTTAGGTTTTCCATCATTCCTTACTTTATCAGTGGTTTCACTTTCTCTTTGCTATTTTCTTGACTCTTCCTAACTCCTTGTTCACTGCAGTGGACTGTCAATACCCTATTCACACCATTGCATGAACACATCAGCATAGGTATAACAATATCCTTCCCTATATGTTAAAGAATACTAGATATCATTGATTAGTTATTATGTACTAAGCGCTTGGCTCTTTTTCATGGGTCATCTAATTCCAATAAACTTGCATTACTGACAGAAAACAAAAATCCTGGGATATAGTGTTAACTGACCCCAAATTGAGAATTGTAGGCCTTCCTAAAAGGTTATGTTGTAGCAGAAAATGCCACTCTATCAGCCAGTATACTTGTTTCTGTTAGTCGCCCAGGTAACAATTCTTGTTTTAGTTCCTATTTTTTTTCTTAGAAACAGCTGGTCACTGTGCTGCATATGGTAAGAACCAATCAAAGACAGTCAAGTACTCTGCTTTGTGCTTGGAATTCTATAAAAACCTCCCTCTCTGAGCCATGAGGCCTCACATTTTTTACAGGTCAGTGCCCCTCAACAAAAAACAAATCTGCCTCCAAATCCTGGAGGTCATTTTGGTGTTCCTGTTTGCCTCAGGAATGTCACTGATCAGAACACAGGCCTGTCTCCTTACTTTGGACTTCTCCTCTAATGCTTGACATTCTCTGAATGTTATTCTTGAACACAAGTGGTCTACTATCATTTTTGCCCATCCAAATCCCATCTACATTCCTTTTTTCCTCAATATTGGTGACTTCTTTAAATTGTACATAACCTATCAACTCCAACCTGTAAACTAACTTGTACATATTGTTCCTTTTTTGTTAGCTGTATCTCACCAGTCTGTAGCTGAAATTCACCATATAGATTAATGTACGAGGTGCACCCAATATAGTAATTGTTAGAGGTTTGTCAGATTAAACATAATAGATATTATCTATTAATTGGAAAATATAAGGATACTATTTGGGAACTGTAGAATGAAAAACAGAAGTGTTATTATAGGCCGAATTATTTCCCTAGCAAATCCATATTTTGACATCCTGACGCATACAATCTCAGACCTTAACAGAGACAAGTTCTTTACAGAGATAATCATGTGCTGGTGCACCCTGGCAATCCCAGCACCTGGCAGGGAGGCAGTGGATCCGTGTGTGTTCAAAGACAGTCTGGGCTATATACATAGTGAGTATAAGACCAGCCAGAACTATACAGCAAGACCCTAGATATATAGGAAAATAAGTAAAGTGTCTCCCTTGAATTTCAATTTCAGTTTCTCCTCAGCATTCTGTCTCCAAAAGAAGAAATACTAGGTTGGGTCCTTATCCAATAACTGCAGCCTCTGTTAGAAGGGGAAATTTGAGCTGACCATGGAGACCAGTGCCTGTAATCCGAGCATTCTGGGAGACTGAAGCAGAAGGAGCCCAGATTCAAGCTCAGCTGGGGAAATTTAGCAACTTATTGAGACCTTGTCTCAAACTAAAAAGTAAAAAAGTCTAGGGACATAGCTCAGTGCAAAGGCCCCGAGTTCAATCCACTGTATGAGAAGAATGAGGAGAGGATCAGAAGACAGTTATCCCACAGGAAAAGTTGAGATGTCAGGTCAGTATCTTAAGGTGGAGATTGAGATGCATTTCACAAGCCAAAGGATACCAGATATTGCCAGCAAATTCTCTGAAACCAGACTTCAAAGCATGGGAGAGTCTCACAGCCTCCAGAGCCTGTCTGTAAGTTGATCTCCATAGTAGCCTCCTATGCCACAGGACAGTAATTCTTTGTTGTTTAAGCCACCCAGCATGTGTTTTATTATGGTAGCCCCAGAAAATTAATGAAGTAACACAAGGAAGTTTTCAAAATATTAAACAGAGAGATACCACTTTAAAAACTATTAGGTAGTTGGGCATGGTCACATGCACCTGTAGCCTCAGCTACCTACTAAGGGGCTGAGGAGGGAGGATCATCTGAGGGCAGAAGTTTCAAAAAGAACTCACAAAAGTACATGAGCAACATACCAAGACCCCATCTCCTAAGGAGAGAGAGGGAGTTGGAGGGAGGGAAGAAGGGAAAGGAGATAGAGCCAGCCAGCCAGCCAGATGAAGGAAGGATGAAAGAAGAGAGGAAGAAGGGTTGGGGAGATGGCTCAGTAGAATAAGC